TTTAATAAAGATTCTATTGACGATAAAATATGTACAGTACATTATTTTATAAATAAAGCAATATATACATACTGCCTGATAATTTAAAGTGAAAGGCCAAAGAAGTAATGACAAAATTATGTATATTATTTTATGAATACTGGAATAAACCATACACTTACTGTCTGGTAATTTAAAGAGAAAGAATAGAGATATAATGTTTAATAGAGAATTCTATTGACGACAAAATTATGTACATTATTTTATAAATAAGCAACATATACTTACTGCCTGGTAATTTAAAGTGAAAGAACAGAGAACTGATATTTAATAGAATTCTAATGACTGCAAAATTATTTTATGAATAAACCATATACTTACTCTCTTGTAGTTTAAAATGAAAGAAAAAACTCAGAAGTAATATTTAATTGACAATAAAATGTGTACATTATTTTATGAATAAACTATATACTTACCTCCTAGTAATTTAAAGTGAAAGACCAGAAGTAATATTTAGTAGAACGATAAAATGCGCGCATTATTTTATGAATAAACTTTATACTTACGGCCTGGGCTCATAAACGTATCTTGGATATGCCATTTCATTGCAAGTGCTATAATCAATAAACTCCTCAAATTCGTCTTTAGTAACATCATCAGACGAGAAGGTGCTTTTTTCAAAAGCCGTTTGCATATCCTCAGGCTCATAAACAGTAACATCATCATCATAAACAGTAACATCATCAGCATCATCAGTATCATCAGTGAGATGTTTGCCTCTTTTTTTATCAGGCTCATAAACGTATTCTGGATACAACTCTTTGTGCCTTTCACTGGCGACTTTGGCTAAAACGGTAAACAACTGTTTCACTGCTGCCGGCTGAGCTTTCCAACTTTCACTTGCCTCTTTCGAAAGATCTCGAGTCGTCATCGACCCTACCCTTTTGGGATTCTCCTTTCTCGCGCGTGCAATATAGTCCGTCCGATACAAAATGAATTTATTCTTTGCTCGAGGCGGTTTATATGGTATTTTTTGCTGGCGTGGAGCAAGCAACTCTTCTAGCGATAAGGTAAGGTTGTAGGGATGATTTTTCATCATTTCCTCAAGCAACGCTTGAGAATTGTTATTCTCAAATGCGAACGCTTGAGAACAGGGATTCTCAAAGACGATCTTGATTTCGTTAGACATTTTCATTGAGTATTCCGGTTTAGGCCTTACCTGTACAATTTTTGAATTTTTGGGAGCTATAAAAGCAGTGTTCCACAATAATGCTTGAACCAAATTGGTATGTGAAATTACCCACTTTCGGAAAACGGGTTCCGTTTGTACCTCACACGTACCCGTTGCAGATGGATTTCATTTCCTTGACAGCCATTTTACCTACAGTTATTTAACCGACATCACATAACGATACGGAAGGTTAGCAATTTATAAATTGCAGATATATATATATATATTAACAGTAAATTGTCACGCGAGTGATGTTGGTTAAATGGCTTTTAGGTTAAATGGCTGTCGGCAAAGTGTAGTGCTTCCGCCTGTT